TATATATTAACGTAACAGTAAATTGTAATTATGTACCGTCTTGCTACAGTCCCTACAATTATTAATTTAATTATATTGTTAGTGGATTATTATCTTCCGTTTTACACCTCAATCCCTCCACTCACTCAAATCGCGTACACTGTTGGAAATTTTTTGAAATTCCATAGCAAATTTGGTTGTAATTCTCATGCCAGTGACATTGAATCCGATTTAGGGGGAAATGGTGATAAAATTTCACGTTTTACCTATAATTCAAGGAAATTCATTAGTTTTCAGTGAAAGTGGGCCGGAAATCTCACAGCTTGATTGAATTTTCAATGAAACATGAATATTCAGAAACAAACTGATAAGAATTTAAATTTTCCTGATTTTCCGAATTTTCACGGAATAATTGAACTGAAAAATCAAGTATTCTATTGATTTTCGAACAATTCAAACTAAAAATCAATGGAATATTTGACTTTTCAATCACGAAATTTTCTGAAGTTGCAGTGGAAATTAAACATGATAAAAATTTCCGGTATTTGACGCGGAAAATTCAGACGAGAATTTTTCCCATCCAAATTTCAGCCAATAGAATTCCACTATTCAACTGTTATTTTATATAATCAACACCGTATTCAACTGATAATTTTTGATAATTCAACTGGTAAGTTTTCAACGTAACCATTCTGAGATTTAAGCAATTGAAAATAACTTACAAGTANGGGGGGGGGGGGGGGGTACGTCTCAAGTAAATAGGGTCTATATATTAGGAAATGTTCCTCTCATTGAGGAAAGACTCAACTCGATCCTGTAGACTTTGCAGTTCAGGCGGGACATAGTACGAAATAGTCTGAAATTGTGCAAATCGCCCAATTCTCAGGTCAACGGAAAATCCTACCATTTCTTCCTGCATATTCCTTTACCAAGGAGACACGGATGAGTGACAGGTTTAAAAAAAAGCCTTAAAATAACGCTGGGGAGCATAACAAATGTGGCGAGCATACGAATTGGTACAAAAGAGAAGTTCAAAGAGGATTTGTTTGTATTTTCGAAGCATCTGAAATGACTTTGGGCATTGGATGGCTAAACAATTCACCAGGAGTTTAAGATTTGGAGTTTAGTAACACTAACCACAATATCCTTTTTGTTCTGAACATGGAGGAAGTATAACATGAAAAATTTGGATTGTTTCGAATGAATTGTTCCTATAATCAATTTCTGTTCTCACGTTTTGATATTGCAATTTTCATTGTAATCAATAAGATGATGTAGAATAAAAAAATTTTGTGAATGTAAATACCACACTGCACTGTTGGAAATATCCAGGGAACAACGAAATTCCTCGACATTTAGGTGGAAATGTCTCGAGATTCCCTCAATCTGTTTGAATTTTCAAATAAAATATAAAAATTCAGTGTCAAATTATGCTAAATTTCCAATTATTTGAAAATTCGATAATGTATTTACCTGTATTTTCCTGACTCCCATTAATTTCGTGGAGTAACTAAACTAAAATTTATAGTTCCCATTAAATTTTTCATCAAATTGTCAATTTTTACCGGCGAAATTAATTGAAATTTAATTTTCACTCCATAAAAATTTCCAAAAATTGTCTTAACATCCACTTCTGGGAAATTTTGCATCAATCCATATGAATTTCCACGATTTAAATATCAGATTTTCTACACTTGGACGAATATAGAATATACTTCGACTTATAAGTTTGAAAAAAATGAAAACGATATTTTCACAGTCAAGAAAAATACCCGACTTATTCCGCGTGCGCGTACACAGAACGCCATCAAAGTTGAGCATAAATGTTCACGTCATTCGAATAATAAAATTTCCAAAGCTTTCACAGCCTGTGGTACCTCTAATTCGTTGAAAGCCTGGGTATTGATGGCATTGGGTACTCATGTTCACAGGTGTCTAGAGCGTTATATTCATTAGCTCCACCCTCGCTCAACAGGCTTCTTTGCTCCGGCTTCGCTTTCAAAACACTTTCCGGAAAACCGCAGTGTTCAGGTATGCAAAAGCTGTACAGAGAAGCCCGTGACATGGCGTGAAGTTGAAGGCCAAGGCCAAGCCAATGGGGCAAAATCGACTCAACTTTTGTACAACTACTTATGAACATTTGCTTTTGAGTTTATGGGGCCTAATTAATTTCCTTTCAACTCCGACAGAAAAACCCCGAAAATATTCCACAACATTCTTCAATAATTCAACAACTCGAGCTGCAAGAAATCAAAGAAGTAGAAATGCAAAATAATTTCATTCATTCGTTCATAAACATTCTCTACTCATGAAAATTTGCGTTTGAGTTTATGGGGACTAATTAGTTTCCTCTCAACTCCGACAGAAAAACCCCGAAAATATTCCACAACATTCCTCAGTAATTCAGCAACTCGTGCTGAAAGAAATCAAAGAAGTAGAAATGCAAAATAATTTCATTCATTCATTCATAAACATTCTCTACTTTAAAAATTTGCTTTTGAGTTCATGGGGCCTAATTAATTTCCTTTCAACTCCGACAGAAAAACCCCGAAAATATTCCACAACATTCTTCAATAATTCAACAACTCGAGCTGCAAGAAATCAAAGAAGTAGAAATGCAAAATAATTTCATTCATTCGTTCATAAACATTCTCTATTTATGAAAATTGGCGTTTGAGTTTATGGGGACTAATTAGTTTTCTCTCAACTCTGACACAAAATCACAGATATTCCACAACATTTCTCAATAATTCGCCCCTCAAAAAATATATAAAAAAATATATAATATGGGCCAATTCCATATATTTTTCAAATTTATGAAGAATATTTAAAAAATATATATGAACCATATATTGTAGATATTTTTTAAATGTAAATTGGGCCAATTTAAGATATTTTTTTATATATTTTTCAAAATATAATTTTTTTTGTGTGTGTTCAACAACTCGAGCTGGAAGAAATCAAAGAATTAGAAATGCAAAATAATTTCATTTATTTATTCATAAACATTCTCTATAACTCTTACATGATGTCTCTTTGATAATAGACATTGGGATATAATTGGTTGAATACTCTTTATAATTACATGACTAGACTTAACTAGAATTGGTCCTTTCGAAGGGATCGATTTTTTGCACTCGGATAATTATTAACACACGGAGAAAAAAAGTTGGGGAACAATTACCGAACCAAGTAATCGTGGAGCGACATTCAGTTCTCGGTCTTTTTGACTCAGTATCGAGGAAAAATGTGCGAATCGAATGACGAATTTTTCTCGTTAACTAAAATTAACGGCGGGGTAATTTGTTCTGAAATTGTAAAATTTATACGCGATTCCATAAAAAATTACGCCAGCGAGCGTGAATGATTACTCAATGTCTAGGAATTTTTCACCAATGGAGAACGATAATTTTTACCCAATACTGTACAGTAAATTTCCAGCTTTGCGCGTTCCCATGTCGTTCGTATGGTTGCCGAAAAAAATACTGAACAGGATCCGTAATTTTTGCATCCACAGCTACCACTTTTTAACGAACGAATCATGAAATATTAATTAATTAAATAAATATAATTTGTATTATAAGCTAGTTACAATCCCTGGCGAGGGGAGGGGGCTCCCATTGAAAAAAACAAAAAAATGAATTGAAAAAAACATCAAAATTTCACGTTATCGGAATGATTTCATAACAAAAAAAGAAAAAATTCCATAAAATACTACAAAAAAAATTGTTGATTATAATAATTAACGAAACGTAGAAAACCGACCGTTAATAAACTGATGGATTGATTTCTATTGAACTTTTATCATAAATTCTGTTAGTTTTTGTTGAATTTCATTGCTAAATTCCGCAGCTAGCCTGCGCATTTTTTATAGAAAATGTCTGATAGAAGTATTTTTTATAAAAAACATTTTTACTCCACGATTCGCTCTTTTTGTATAATTCAATGTTCCGAGATTTTTTCTTCTAATAAAAAATCATTTTCCTTCAACTTTTTCCTCCGTGCAGAATTCAGTATTGAAGTGGCAAACAGTGACTCAACACTTTCAAAAACCAAATCCATTCTAAATGGAAATTGAACTGGAGAAAAGTGAGATGAAATGATTCCAAAACCGGTCCATTCCACCCCACCCTCTCCTCCAACAGAATCAAAATATTTCATTCGACTCATCGATGGAATTCCCCAAAACTTTCCTCAATATATTCTCCTTGTTATTCGACAATTTTCTATTCAAAAAATATACTCTCGATTATCCTATTCCCCCACTACGAATTCATCTCAATCTCATCAAATTTTTCTCATTGCCAGCCACCAGGGTCAACCGGAAGTGGGATAAGTCGAGTGTACACTAACTCCAGTGTCACAAGTTCTCTCACGAATATCGCACCTAAATTCTCAAATTAATTAAAAAGGAATAATAGAAGTAAAATAAGGAAGATAACGATGCTTCTCTCGCTCCCTTTGTCGTTGACTACACACAGAGAAATGGTTTATTTAAATTAACTAAACTTTACTTGGAATTAACGGGTTATTTGTGTCATACAATTAGAACATTTTGAGTGGAATAAATCGATCAAGTGGATAGAGGAATTTCTACTGGAGAGTTTTATTCCGTCATTTCTCTGGGTGTAATTTTCTAGATATTTAGAATACGAATATCTCAAGTGAGGCCACGTGATAAATCTAGTTAAAGGCCGTAGTACCTCGCATTGAGAGAAAAAATTAGTTCTGCCGAAAAATTATATGTTTCCCCGAAGAGATCTTCTGTCGTGTTGAATCAATCAACTTGTGGACAAAGACGAAAGTGTCCACCAAAACATAATTTTTGTAGCAGTAATTGTTCTCGTAAGACATTTAAATGTCTTTCGGGCAAATACATTCGTTCTACAGAGAATTATATGAGGCTCCGGTTTTATCAAGTGAATCTTCTTGACTAGTGTATATCTTTGTCCAATAAACATTTCATAATTTCTGCGGAACAAATGATAATTTCAAGAGGAAACTATAATTTTTTTGTCGAAAACTGTGTTATTGGCAAACCTAAATAATTTTGAGGGGACAATTTTTTTTTGGGAAAAAAATATTCTTCATTCGTAATTCTTTCTGTGATATAAACCTATGCAGTTCTCTCAGATCAAATGATTATCGTACAATGGATAACATTTTTTCTGCCAAAAGTTCGAATTCTTCTAGGAATACTTCTGATGATCACGGCAAAACTTTCATTTTTGTGAAAGATATTAAATTTCCTTCTATCAGGTAAATCTGTTCCACTCCATCAAATATTCCCACGTGTAACATGTAGTTTTTCGGGAGAGCCAATTTTTTCTTTCAGTGTGAGATAAACCTGTTCATAATGACTGATAGGCCCCTGGGTGTGCTCATTCCTCCGAATTAGTATCATTACTCCAACTAATTACCCGATCAAACGTCTCAGATTAATTCTCAGTGACTCCAGGCACTTTGTCCCCAAAATATCTAATTCAAAAGTTGAATAAACACTAGACAATTCAATGAAAATATTCACTCCTCCACTCATTTAATTTTCCTCCTGATAAAATGATAAGAGCATCATGTCCTCCTGTCTCAGCCAGGCGGTGTCTTCTTCTGTTTCGTTAACTCCAGTAAAACTGGATAATGTATATCCGCACAGTACTCCTGACAATTATCCCCGAGCTCCAGGTGTCTAGCCCATACATCAGCATCATACCGTTCAATTTGTCTCGCCAAAAAGCCCCGCTTAACAGCAGCATCCGCAAATTTCTGGAATGTCATACCGCGTCTTGGCGCCATTATCAGAGCAATTCCATCGTCCGCAAGCCAACCATAGATTGTCTCCACAAGATCCAAACGCACATCGTCGAAAAATAAACAATCAGCGCTGAGAATAACGTCGTACAAGCCCTCTGTTCTTCGTGATTCGTCCACTGTCTCTGGACTCCATGTCTACATTAATTGGATTTTAGTGTAAGTCTGAGTATATTTTCTTCGGACGTGGGATTTACATGTGTAATTCGATTTGTAATTCAATTTAGAAATATTAACGATGACACTCATGATTTGTGAATATTTCTCTTAGTGTCAGGACATTGTTCTTAATTCGAGGAGAGTATTTCTGACAGGGCAAACTATCCGGTTTAGACTATCCATTTTTTTCAGTAAAAATTTTCTGGTTATTCATATTGACAATAATTCCGGTTCCCCTCCTGCTTCATCCAAATCCCATCCAATCATTTACTATGACGTCACAAAGATGTGAATCGCTATATAAATTCCCTTCTTTAATGTAAGTCAGTAATTACAATTCAATGAGGGAGATTCAAATAGTAAATTTTTATGACAACTATTTGGCAGGAACAGGTCTTTGGTACTGAATATTTACATTTTGATTGAAAATTCAAACGAGTTGAGGAATTTTTATCTGACTTCTGCTCAAAGATTTGAAATTTCGTTGCAGTTCCACTAAAGTCTGAAATTTCATATTTTTCCCCCTAAATGTAATTCAATATCACTCTCCGAAAAATGTCAAATTAATTGCCCATGAAATTTCAATGTTTTTCCAACAGTGTAGCAAATGCAAAAATTCCACATAAAATTAATTAATTATTAACACATCAATTTTTTACTAGTTTCCGAACCCCTTTGGTATTAAATCACGAACAATGTCCCAATCCCAGAGGCGATACCTTCAATTTCAAAATAAACTAAAGACAACTGCCAAAACCCTAATGATTGTCGTAATCCCCACCGGAAATTAAATTTACCCGATATCCCCAGCTGCCAAAACCCGAAAATTTCGAAATCTCATTGTTCTTCATAACGAACGAAGCGAAAGAAATCCCAAACCCCTGCCAACGACATACCCCCCCCCCCCCNCCCCCCCCCCCAATTCCCATAAAATCACTCTCTTAAAAATGACTAGTCAATTGCCGATGAAATTTCAATTTTTTCCAAAAGTGTCATGGACATGCGCTAAATTCCATACAAAATTAATTAATTACCAAATATCCATTAAATCAAGAACAATGTTCTAAACCCCAGAGACAATACCTTCAATTTGAAAATCCACTAAAGACAACTGCCAAACCCCTAATGATTTTCGTAACGCCCCCCGGAAATTAAATTTGCCCGATAGCCCGAGCTGCCAAAACCCGAAAATTTCAAAATCCCATTGTCCCTCGTAACAAACGAAGCGAAAAAAAAAATGCCAAACCCCTGCCAACGACATACCTGCACCCGATGCCCACTGGCAGCCTGTCTGAGGACATTAGCCGCCCTGGCCCACTGCACCACTCCGCATTTAACAAAATCCGCCATGTTGTTTCTGGCAATGATACACCTAACGTTGTCGACACTTGTGACATTTCCGTCGGTTAATGTAACACCGGATGGGCCACAATATTTGGCAACGAGTACCCCAGCAAGACAGCTCATACCACCCCCAAGCTCCAAAACAGTTTTATTCCGGCATATCCTCTGATTCTTCAGCAAGTAATAGCCGAGACACTCTTCGGAGGGCCAGACACAGACATTTCCCGTGTTGTTGAAGCCAATGAGTTCATTAGCTGTGAATGTTTTGTTAATTCTCCGAACAAGAACGGCAAAAAGATCGTTATCCACGACGCACGAGTACTCGTACCAAGATGATTTAGGGTCGACCGGTGCATTCTCGAGGAGTTTTGGCTTTACCAAATTGAAATTTGTGAAACGACGAACAGATATGACGTCCTCAGGCTCTATGAGTGGCTCAGGGGAGCGTGTCAACGCTCGCGCCAGCATTCTCCAGCGCCTCTGAGCCATTGACGTCCTCTCCTTGTCCTCCGTCTTCCGCAAGACGCCGCAACTTTTGTCATTCATTTTCCCAAAAAGTTGAACCCAAACTCGCTAAACACCCCCTAAGACAAACTTTCATGCTGATTAATCTGATTTATCCCGTCCATCACGAATATCCACGTGTGGATTTTTAAAAAAATTATCACAACTCCACTGAAGTTGCCTCACATCCGGCTCTTCGTATGTTTTTCTTTCCTCTGTTTAGCCTCCACAATCCTCATGTTTTCTCGCCTTTTTGGTTGTTCACTGGTCCCTCTCAATCCAGATGTCCGCTTCTTTATTTTACTTCTTTGACTTCACGTTGACGGTGGGGAAGTGGACGATAACGGATGAAGGGACGGGGACAGACTAAAAGCTGTTCACAAGTTCTAACTCACGCGCCACGCGGATCGTCACGCAATAGTCGCGCTTGCGCCCAATGTAACGCAAGTGGCCTACACGTATCTGCAACAGCTTCCCACCTATTGCGGTTGAAGGGGATATGTATTGTCTGCAACTGGCGTCAAGCCGTCTTCTTTTAGTTTAGAATTTTTTTAGGGGTAATGGGAGTAACGGCTGATAAATAGACGCAAAAGGTCTCTTCGGTAATTCATCGAGTGATGGAAAATTTTTAATGAAATTTCGGGCTCAATTTTTTAAAATGTTCAACGACAATTGGTTGACAGAAATTTTTTGTGTATTTTGTCGCTCGGGAGGCGACCTTTTGATGTTAAAGTTAATTACAGTCGACATTTTCATTCGATAGAGAAAAGAAATTGCCGGAAATTATATTTAATTGATTTGGAATTCAATCCAATGTGACATGCGCAATTTTCAGATTAAATTTGAGAATTCAATTTTTATTGAAATCTCTACATTTGTTGTATATGAGAATAAACATCGAAAGAATTTCGAGACTACAATTCATCCAAAAAATCCAAATTCCACTGCCCGAGAAGAATAATCAGTATCCGCATAAAAAATTCCCCGTAATTTATTCCCCCAATTTCCCCAAAATCCTCCTAATGACTTTAACATCCGAATATTGACGGAACCAGGAATGAAGGACGATTGATGATGATTCAACGTCACATTCGATTTGGCCACTGAAAGAACGAGGGTAAGAGGAAGTAAGCGAATCCTACAAATGTGATCAAGTGGTGGATGAGCACGAGAGTGATGGAGCGCTCACTTTCCCGTGTTTTTATCTCCCTCGTGCTTCGACAGAGGAAATAAAAAACATGAAAATTGACGAGGTGTGGAGAGTGGATGAAAGGGGAAACGCAGCGAGCTTCTAAACACTTCTGTCGTCAATACACTTCCACCTTTTTACGTGGATGGGTATTATACACCCATTCGATCACGCCACTTTATCTCCAGCGCCCCCCCCCCCCCC